TAACATCACAGAATAAAACTATTACGAGCAACTTACAAAAGGAAAGTTTTTAGAAAAAACCAAGCTTGGCACTGGTCTTGAGGCTACTAGCGTTGTATTTATTTTCTTCACTTCAGTTAGAAAACTTTTCTTCATGTGCCCAGTTATTGAAAACCTACAAACCTACAAACGGTTTCACTGAACATGTTTCACAGCGTTATTGGCCTTTTACAGTCTGAGATTCATTTCTACCATAGATTAAATTGAAAGCAATATAAGAGGGTAAGCGACTTAACATCGAGTTGCATTTAGATAACTGTAACAGTTACTTGCCCCAAAGCCATCCTTTACCAACCAGAGCTAATGTGTCAACGGAAAATTCGTTATCGAAAACAGCAACACCGATCTTCTTTCCAACCTTTAGACCACAACCAGCGAGTTTTGCGTCAAATGTTCCGTCTTCAACTTTGGCTCCAGTTGATACTCCTGCTCCAAGATGGAGGTTAAAGGGCCCAGCTTTCACCTCACTCATTGTCACCCGTGCTTTTGCTTCAGCCCCTAAGATCTTTCCCTCTTTGAAAAAACCTTCCAGATCATATCCAGCTTGCGCCTTAACATCTACCCCAATGAATCGCGCGTTTATTTCCAGGTTTTCAACGTCATCAGAGCCAAATTGGAAAGCGTGGGCTCGAGCTCCAGCACCTGCCGTTGCTCCCCATTCACCAGTCTCCACTCCCGCATCTGCTGTGGCTTCAAATGCACTGAAGAGATTTTCTCCGGCAATGGCACGTGATCCAACTTTGTATTTATGTTTGTCTATTTTGGCGTAAGTCTTGTCAGATTTGTTTTCGTATTCCATATCTCATCGATAGAATGTTTTCGTTGGAGCTGCGTATCTGACACTGAAAGAACTATAACCTTCTAGACTGTTGGAAGACAAACTAACCAAATAAACCCGCAAAAAAACAGAGTACTTATCGCGAAAATAAGGAAATACACGTCATTTGATTTCATCCTGTGAGTATTCCTTTTTTGGGCAAAGAATTTGAAGAAAATTGTCAAGTTGTGTTTTAGCATTATTCTTGTTCTGCATCAACGAAAAATTACCGGAAAAAAGGTCAGGGCCAGTCTTTCAACCAGTAAAACATCACGATACAGTTTACAGCATTCCTATTGTAGTGACAGTGAGCACTTAAAAAAACTGTTGGGAAAACATACTGTGTATACCGATTCTTATGATAAGTCGCAAGAAAGTTATGCAGGAAAGGTTCTCAGGTTACCCATTCGATACATTTTGTAGGTTGGTTACACTGATCCTGGAAAGAGCGGATGAACATTCCACGATTAAATTGAATTATTGTTCCTGTTTGTTAACTGAGCGAAAGAACATTCTTTGATTGCAATGCTGTTTTTTTTCCTGTTTCTTGAATTAATAAGGACATTCTACGATTATATTGTTCTTTTTTTTCCTGTTTCTTGAATTAGAAAGAACGTTCTACGATTAAATTTTAGTGACCGTTATAAACCAAGCGTAAGTTCAAGATGATTGGATATTGGCAGAGTTCTTTTTTACGCTTTTGTGGGCCGAGAAAAAGTCCAGGTTTATAAAAACACAAGAGGAATGAGGCTTACATCCAACCATCTTGACCGGACAAACTTGATCAATAAAGGATTCATTATTTAGAAAAATATTTCGCTTAAATAGGAATCAGGAATGACTTGTTCTTTTCAAAAGCTGAAGACAAAACCGCTTCCATGTCTTCATATCCCTTTGGGTTTTAATTTGTCTCTTCCAGTTTTTGTGGCACAATAAGCTCACGAAAGTTATTTGCATTTTATTTTTTGTGTTTTCTACTGCTTTTTGCAACTCTATTGCCGACATTGTCTTGAAATTATGTACGTCCGTAGGTCTTTGTAGGTCTGCTTTAAGAATTTTTTTTTCTTGCGCTGGATCATAGTGGGCAGCCTGAACGGGAGCATGGTTACTTTTAATATTAAATTAATATTTAATTAATATTAAATTACCTAGTTAAACAGATTCGTTTTATTTCAGCACTGCACTATCGTCCACGCCAATTGTACTACAGCAGTCTTACACATTTCCAGCAACAGTGCGTATTGCCACAGTCACCATCACAGAGCGAGGAATCACTCACAAAAATCTACTCTTCGGGTTACAAACTGGATACATCTGGAGCCTACCCAAGAACTACTTGGACTCACGCAGAAAATTTGTACCCACCCAACAGGACCGTGAAGAAGGATTGCACCCTTATATTCCGGAGCTGAGTGCGAATCCACTGGCGTTTATTAACTACAATCAAACTGGTTAGTGCCTTTGTGAGAAGGAAAACGCTTTTTGATAGTGTCTTCATCCAAAACCAAACTAACCACAAGCACCAGTCGGATCAAATGGGAAATATCAAAGGGGGTCGAAGAGAAATAAAAAAGAAACAATCAAACGGTCTTTATCCTCACGGGGATAATGGAAGAAACCAGGTATAGATGTTG